AATTAGGTAATGTAATGTATGACAATGAAAGTTTTGATGCGGGTGACACCGACGCCGGAAACTGGAAACCATTGTATCCGATTATGAATGTTATTAGAACGAATAAGCTAATATTAAATATCGATATTATTCACTAGCTGTGCCCGCGACTTTCTAAAATTCACCCGCGATTCCGCGTGGAATAGTGGCGTCGCGTCGATTAGTTCATCATATCTCCTTGCCCGTAGGGTGATAGTGTGATAATATATGCATGCATATATGGTATATTGACCCGACTTGCTAGTAATATTCATGCAAAATTTGAAGTAAATCCATGCAGTACTTTTGAGTTTAGCCTTTACAATACATACAGAAGAAATAGACAACAATAGGGTAGATGACTAATTTTTTAATTTAATGTCCGTCTGGTAGATTATTTAAAAACGAAACGAATAGTTTCGAAGATACATTGATTTGAAATGTCGCGTGACGTCACTTCTATGTACATTTTATACGTAGCAATGACGTTTTAGCCCCCACCCCTAACTTTGATTCGTTATTATCTAAGTATCATTAATAAAAACTATGTTTTGGCCGTCGATCCGTCGATAACTCGATATTGCTGTAGCCATGTTTTACAGCCAATAGCTTCCCTCTATTTCTCTATTCTCTAAAGTTCTTTCTGTCTTCTTTCTTCTTTGAAAAACGTTGCCCCACACTAGGATTTCTTCCATTGTCGTGTCGTCCACATATACACCGAGACCGGGAACAACAATCTGTGGATCACACAAAGAGTTGTTCAGTGCGGGAATCGAACCCGCGACGTGAGATACGTACATTCCAAAAAAAGTTCCCATATACAAATGTAGATTATGATGATACTTTTTTTTTTTTAGGGGGGAAAATCATCGAATGACTGCTCCCGCCTGGGTGAGGCGGGAGGGAGTGTCAGACTCTTACTGACTAAAAACCACCCCGTTCCTTCTCCTGCACGTCGAGCCGGAGCCCCGGTTACCCGTTACGTTCTCCGCGACTCCAAATCGGCATCGGCCCTGTTGGGCCCCATTGTGGTAGATTATGATGATACTAGCCCGCGACTTCGTTCGCGAGGAATTCTGATTCACAGCTCCTTCCCCGTAGATGATAGCGTGATAATATGTAACCTATATGTTGGCCCGACCTGTTAGTAATATTCATGCAAAATTTGAATTAAATCTAAGCAATATTTTTGGAGATCATCTCGGACTTTACAGACAAACAGACAAATATTCTAAAAACCATATTTTTGGCTTCGGTATCGATCGTAGATCGTGATCTACAATCGTTATTGAATAGTTCGTTATAGTTTTGACTTTTGTACTATCTTATTATATGTATAGATTTGAATTCATTGAAATTAAAACAATGAATAATGTAGAACACTTCCATATGATATGAGTCGTGTTTACAGTAATGCATTACAGATACAGTGTCGTGTTGCACGGACTATGATTCATCGTGTTTGCCACACAATAGGGTAGATGCCTAATTTTTATTTTAATGTCCGTCTGGTAGATTACTTTAAATCATTAGACACGTATTTTTTATTTTCTTACAGAAACGAATACGTTCGACGATAAATTGATTTCAAATGTCGCGTGACGTCACTTCTATGTGCATTTTATACGTAGAAATGACGTTTTAGCCCCCACTCCTAAACTTTGATTCGTTTTATTATACGACAACATAAAAAAATACGTGTCTAATAATTTTATTACCTAACTTACGGAATAATTGGATTTTTAATCATCATCCCAATTACGCTTCAGCTCCTAAACTGTTGAGCATCACTGAATAATACCTTTTTTAATGACGATTGGAAACGTTTAAAAAGTGCCTGAGTATTGGGCAATGGTTAGACAGATTTAAATCTTTTTAACCGATATTAAAAAAGAGGTGTTTCCAAGTTTGACCTGTTTGTGTGTCTGTCTGTGCGCCAATATCTCGCGATTGACTGAACCGATTTTGATGCGGTTTTCAAATAAGCATTTGTTACACTTGAGGTCTTAGTGTGTATTGTAATTACACCACTTCAAAATAGAAGGGGTTGAAGTCTGTTTTTTGAAACGTACTTTACAATAGGTATAATTATTATTTGTCAAAGGTTGAGGCGTCATGCACTCATAAATGTCCTACAGTCGGTGGCGCTGTGTGTTGGGTTCTTCCGTTCCCAATAAAAAAGTTGACCGGACCAATTGCTGACACACACGTCATACTCGTGAACGGGTGCCTTCTGCTGGGTCAGGTCGGCTCTCTCATCTTGTTGGTGGGCTGGTTTCATAAAGCCTTTGAAATAGAAATAAATAAATAGTGCCTAATTATTATGTAACCTATACTTTTGGTAATAATTATAGATGTAGTTAATTGTAGTGTGTAACTAGGTTCCCTCTTTACTTTATAAAAATTGACTAGATGTATTATAATTAAAAAACTGTATGACAAGGGCACGGACCTAGAGTCCGTGGAGAAATAATCTATAATATTAAAAAAAAAA